GGGGGGAAAGAATGCCACTAGGGTCATCCTGGTGGACAAGCTTCATTAGACCTGTCACAGGGAGACTAGAAAAGGAATGGGATGCCCACTTCTGGAAAATCAGCCAGGGAAAACTGAATAGCAGTGACACATTATCTGACAGAGTGCAGGGGGATGGGCCCCTGTGTTAAGGTAGGTTGTCCAGAGAAACAAAACCAGTGACATGAATATTTTTGAAGCCAGTCACTCACTTTATGCCTTAATATCACCCCATTTGGGGCAACATGTTTCTGAACTTTTCATTTCTATCAGCCCAGTTTTCTGAGGAGACAGGTATATTCTTTGATGAGAAGAATCTTCATTCCAGTTGGAACCTTGTCTCTTCATACATATCTGCATCTGGATCCAGATTTGGCTCAACACCCTCCGGTTCTTTGGCCTGCCATATTGTTGGCTGATGCTGAGATTCAAAAATGACCTTCCACTTGATGGGTCATCCTTGGATTCATTTGATTCTGTACCCACGAGCTTGACCTGCTAGTCTTGGCTTAATTTATTTCTTCTGCCACCAACCTATAGTCTCCTTACTGATCCTGGATTCATCAGCCCCGGAATCTACAAGGAGCAGGAAAAGCCTCCAGTCTAAAATCTGACCCATGAACTTGGAACTTGACACAACATAGACTTTCTCAGTCTGCAACTTTGTGAACCATTTTTTTTATATAAAGTTCTTTCAATAATACATATGCACATGATATTGATTGTGCTTCTCTAGTGAACCCAGTCTAAAATAAAAGTTGAGCCAGAATGTGAAATTTTTCAACCAACATCACATTAGCACATGCAAGGTAAAATTTTACTGAATATGATTTATAAATGCTTGTACATAGACATAGAAGTGCCAAAAATTATAACCAGATTCTAAGTGGTAGAAGAAGTGCCATCACTGTTGACATCAGAGGGATCATGGCTGAAAGCAGATAATACCATAAGGATGTTGACTTGTGTTTTATTGACTATGCCAAGACATTCAACGGTGTGGAAAGACAATCAGCTACATGAGTAAAGCATAACAAACTATGGGCAGTATTGTGAAGAAATGAGGTTCCAGAAATCTTAGCTGTCTTCATGAGATAGAATCTGTACATAGACAAAGACGCAATTGTTTGAGCCAAACAAGGGCATATTGAATGGTTTAAAATAAAATCAAGAAAGGCGTGGCAGAGTTAAGTCCTTTCACACACATAGTGAGAAAATAA